TTTTTTTCCTCATAAGATTTTAGGATTTTTCTTTCTTTTTTGAAAGATGTTTACCCTAGCATCATTTTGGAAATAATCATTAGTGTATTACTTCGTTTTTTCAAGATTATTTCCAAATATTTTTTTTATAGTTGGGTTTAACAATAAAAAAAACGGCTTTTTGCAGCGATTCAGAAAACCGGAAAAATCAGTTATCCGGAATAGCGATGGTCCCGATCGTTCCGGATAATCGGTTCCCTACTGTACTTTTAAAAACAAATATTCTCTAGTATATTTAATTATCAATATGATATTAGTTCTATGTTTATTTTACCTCTTAAATATTGTGAAGATAAAATTGTGACATAATTTGAGTAAAAGGGTTTTAGACAGTTTTGGACAAAGGGGTTTTGGACAGGACGGTTTAAACCAGGGTTTAAACCGCGGATTAATCCATTCTGTCCTAAACCTTGCCAACCCTGATATATAGTGTTTACTGTAAAAGAAAACTTCTGGGCTCAATAAATTAATTTATTTGCCCCCTTGGTAATAAAATATTTGTTTATAGTTTTTTTATGTTTAATTTTGTGTGAATACATTGCCAGTTTGTGCAAAGCAAACACCTTGGAAGAAAACAGATGGAATAGGACGAAATAGAAATCGACAAAAAATATAATTATATGATTTTTATTTGATTTCTTTAAATTAAAATAATTATTTAAATCTTAACCGAAAGGTTACTTTAAATGCCACAAGGCATTTATAATTATTAGGTCTTTTTTCTTTATTTCCTTGCATTTTTTAACTATAAAAAAGCATAAAAAATCTCTCCGTTTAATTATTTAATACTTAAACGGAGTACTTAAAATACTTAATTATTTAATACTTAAACTTATTATTTTACTATATTTTGTTTTTATTTATATGACAAAATAACACCTTTTAATACAATTGATCAGCATATGCTCAAATGCTATTAAATTTTTACGCATAATTTGAATTTATTAAGTAAATTAACTTCAAAAGTAACTGCTGGCTAGGATAATTAACTGTAATTACTACCAATTTTCTTTTCATATTGTATTAAATTTTTATTTTTGAAATGATGAGATATTTTGAAAATATCTAAAATAGGTATGTATTAGTTATTATTTCTCTGTGTAAAGTGAGAATTTTTGGAACTTTTTTTAAAAACTTAACTTTAACTTTTTTGTGCAAAGTATGTATAAATCTTATGCATAAATCTGCACATAAAAGTGCCAAAACGGACCTCAGAAATCATAACAGAAACCAAGTTTCAAATTAGCAAAGTTTGCCAGTTTAACATTGTATAACGTTATGTTGATTAAAAAATATTTCTTTCAAAATAAATTTTCTTTCTATTAACCTATTTCATTTTCCTTTCAAAGTGCTTGCCATTCTCAAAAAAGTAGCCCTGCTGGTTCCATTGGAAGAGGATCATGTTATTCACCTACACAAAGAGCTATTTCTCCAGCTGATACAGATAGTACACTGTACAGGCAGTCACCTGTACCGTCAAATTCAAACCCTGCGATTAAAGTAATTATTTTTATTTTATTCTAATTAACAAGAATTTTCTAGTTTTAATTTTTTATGTGTATTTTCATCATGTTGATGATTAATACTGAGGCAGAAACATTTTCGATTGCAATATAGATTATGATAATATGCTGTAAATTTCTTACAGTTTATAAACTGTATCTTATTTGTTTTGAAAACATAAGTAGGTTTATACTTTCATTGGGGTCTTCAGATAAGTTTTAGCAGTATTTTTTAGCTCATTTTTTTTTTTTTTTTTTTTTTACCACTTAACCCTTAAACTGTCATTCTAGGATCTGGTTGTTTTCTCATGCAACAAATTGACTTTTCACCATTTCATTAAATGAAATTTTTTGTGCAATATTACCCTAGTAGCAGTCATAGGATTAATACTTTGAATCTATGGTCTATGTGCTCATACATTAATTTGTAATTTGTATTTAGTATCAACAAAATATGACCATAATGGGCAAAATTCGTTGTTTGAGCAGAAGTATACACTTTTCTATCAAAGAGAATTCTTTTGATTGCTAATGTTCACTTATTTTACTCTAAATCAATGTATCAAGTTTAGATTTTTTAAAAATTAATTTGTATATAATAAAATCAAGTTTGAAAGATAACTTAATGCCAGGGTTAGGGTTTTGGGCGTCCTAACCTGGTTTTGGACAGGACACGTGGGTTTTACTGTCTTAAACTGGGTAATACTGTCTTAAACTGGGTAAAACTGTCCTAAACTGGGTAAAACTGTCCAAAACCTTGAACTTTGGTTAAGGTAACTATTCTATAGGTGTAACCATTGTGCACATAATAATTACATGTATCAATAAATATTTGATATTTTTTATACAATTTACTTTAACTTATCAAAAGAAAATAAGATAATGTAATAGGAAAAGGTTTATAATTTTTAAAGCTCCACAATTCATTGAACAACAAAAGTGAATAACTAATCCTTTAAATAGGGATAAATAATGTAATATGAAAAAATAATATTTTTTTTAAAAAAAAATCTAAATTTGTTTACTAAATTAACATTGTGACACATAATTTGAGTAAAAGAGTTTTGGACAGTTTAAAACAGTTTTGGACAAAGGGGTTTTGGACTGGACGGTTTAAACCGTGGATAAATCCATTCTGTCCTAAACCTTGGCAACCCTGCTTAATGCATATTTTTTTTAAAGATTATTTTTTAAACATACTTTAAACGAAATTTATTCCAGATACCTATGTTCTTTTTCACTGCTCTATTTCTGAACACTTATGATTGACAGATGTTTTCAAACCTCATTTTCTTTACGGATATTTAAATATTTTAAAATATTAGTCAATAATACAATAAATAAATGCTAGATATGTGTACAAAATCAATCAAAATATTTAGTGTTCTGCCATCACTTGGAACTCTAACCATTATCATCAATCAATCAATATCATTCATCATGTATTATCATATGTAAACCTGGACTTCATTGTATATTTTTAAGAAAAAAATAAAATAAAGTTCTTTGACTTTTGATAAACTCACGGTGCTTTGTGGTCTAGTTCCTATATATAAATTAAATTAAAACAATCATCTTTAAAATTTCTGATACTAGGAATGCCAAAGAGAATGATTCGAATCAGTTTAGCTCAATTATCAATTTTGCTTTAACTTTTGTTTTCTTACTCTACATGATAATCATGCTTGCTGTATTAAGTTATGTTAGCTAAACTTTTATGTAACTATACCAAATTTGTATTAATTCTTTTTTAATTGATTTGACTCTTTTAAAGTAAAATGTAATTAAATATTTAATTTGTTAGCAATATGTTCTTTTAGAAATAACTTTTTTGCAAAAATGTTTTATTAAAAATTTGACTAAAATTAATGAAACTGTCAAAAACTAACTAATATCAATAACTTGATAAAGACTTCAATTTTAATGTAACATTATTTTTGGAAATTACTTTTTCCTAAAATAAAACTTAAGTTATATTTTATTAAAAATTTCATTTGAAATTAAAATTAATATGAATAACTTTATGTAAGAGCCCAGTATAGTTATAATAGTTTTTAAAAGTTAAAAATTTTTAAAAATATTTGAGTGTTTGTATTAATTTTACATATAGTACTTAGTAATACTTTTGATTAGTTATAGTATTAAATTTTAAGAAAAGTGAAGACATACTTATAATTTTGAGATTCTACTGGATGTAAATTCCTTGTCAATGCACTACATGCTAACTCTATAAGGGATCTTTATTTCCTTTCTTTTGGGTAAATATTAACTCTCAACCAACCAATCACAGACTGTTAGCCACATGTCAAAACTCTCTAAACTATATCTAGGTATTCTAGATTAGGTACTCTGCTCTTTAACCATTTATAGCATGTGTATATTCAATTTTTCAGCAAATCACTTCTGTTTCTACTCGAATCAGTGATGGTAGTGACAGCAAAAAACCCCATTTCGTAATAGTGACCCGATTAGAGGATGCGCAAGCAATACGCACTGCGGAATTTCATCCTTCTGGACAGCTGTATGCCATTGGTTCTAACTCAAAGACCTTGCGAATTTGTGCTTATCCCAAAATCACAGACGTGAGGTGAGTACCCAATCATAGTTAACTTAGGTATTTGGTTGCTCTTTGTGTTAAATTGAAGTGATTCTTAGTTAAATTTTTCATGCATCCCAAGTTCTTTATATTAGATTAGAATGATTCAGTTCTTAAGTAGATTCTTCATGCATTCCAAATTTTCGATGTTAGATTCGAATGATACTTAGTTAAATTTTTCATGCATCCCAAGTTCTCCATGTTAGATTAGAATGATTCGTAGTTAAATTCGTCATGCATCCCAAGTTCTTCATGTTAGATTAGAATGATTTGGTGCTTAGTTCAATTCTTCATGCATCCCAAGTTCTTCATGTTAGATTCGATTGATTCTTAGTTAGATTCTTTATGCATCCCAAGTTCTTCATGTTGAACAAGAATGATTAGATTCTTAGTTAGATTCTTCATGCATCCCAAATTCTTCATGTTAGATTCTAATTATTCTTGTTAGATTTTCAATGCATTTTAAGTTTTTCATATTAGATTAGAAACACATATTTTATGTATTGAATTTTAGTAAAAGTCCTTTATAGCAATAATTCAATGTAGATAACTTGTGAGCGTGTAGTTTTAAACAAATACATATATGTATTTAATGTTTAAATAGCAATAAGAGTACTGAAAGATAAAATAGATTCATTTATATCTTTCCTTTTTGTTTTAAACATCCATTTTGAATTAAATTACATTCGACTATTTTTGCCTAAAGATTGTTGGCTGGAGTGGCAGTTTTTGGACAATGCAAGAAAGAAAGTGAAATTAAGTGTAATACCTTGGCTTTGTGGAAAGCTTTGTAGATGTATAGCAAACAGAGGGCTTATTCTGTAGAAGTGTGCAGCAAGATTTTTTAAAATAGTACAAGAATTATTCTTTTGAAAGTCGAATCGCCCACACATAATTTTATAAACATATAAGGTTGAACATTAAGATGAAATGTTGTTAGTTGTTACCTTTTCTGCATTGATACCATAAATGAATAACGATGTATTCCATTTTGCACTTTTTTGTATAATACTATTTGTTTGTTCGTATAAATCATTAATTGTCATAATAAAAGGGTGCTAGTAATTTTCAACTCGTTATTAACATGCACATTTTGTATCTTTAATATTAGCATTTTCATGATTATTCGAAAACTTGTCATAATAGCAAACATCTCTTAACATGCTGTACTTGTTTATATTGAGCTTTTAATGAATTTCGTAAACTTATCTTCTATACTTTTACAATCTTATTTTTTAGTGAGGACCATGTTGTGCATCAGCCTACAGTACTCTACAAAAAAGTGAAACACCATAAAGGATCTATTTATTGCCTTGCTTGGAGTCCTAATGGAGAATTACTAGCAACTGGCTCTAATGATAAGACTGTAAAATTAATGAAATTCAATATTGAAACATGTAATGTAGATAGTAAGTAAATTTTTAATGTTTTAATGAATATTGTTGGTTATAGTTTACATTCATTGCTTGTGATTCCTTGGTTATAAATATTCATTATTATGATTCTCTGATTAATATTTTTTTATTCATTTTGATTGTAAGGAACTTACCTTATTACGGTGTAATTTCTTGTGACCTCACTTCAACAATCACTTGTGATTGTAATTTGGCACTTACATCACGGACCTTTATCAATGAAAAGTTTACTCAAATTGTTACTGTCGGTAACATATAAACTAGAATAAAATTTTTATTTTAGAAAGTTTATTTTAATTAGCGTATTTCCTTTTTATTTGCTATAAAAAGATTGTGAGGTAAACTTTAAAATTTAAAATTTTACCTTTTACAAATGTTGTACTTATTCCAAAAGGGACATAATGCAGCCAATTTAAATTAATAGTTATTAATGTAATATATTTTTTGCATTTTATTTCCATACATAGGATTCCCCAAAACTCTTTATTTATAAAAAAATGCATTTATGCATAGTACGTATTAGTTATATTAAGAATTTTCTAATTTTAAATTAGTTCAAAAGTATTGATTTTGTAATAAATTAAACTTTCATTATTGTTTAAAAATATAAATTTTATGTACTCACAAACAGCAAGTATTGCAACAAACCTAAATTAGTCATTTATGTAATGTCGTTTGTGAATTTTATTTCCTCTTTTTGATTATAAAATATCCTTATTTGTAAAATATTTTATTTGTGTATGTACAACTTAGTTTTATTGCAAATTTTTCAATTTTAAGATTAATTGAAATTTTTTTTCTTCTTCCAGATTTAACTTACGTTATATGTTATGTAATTCAATAATAAATTGCACCAATCTATAAATTAGATAATTATAGCGCTAAATTATAAATTTTAAACTATAATTTAAAAAAGAAATCAAAGCCTATGTAATGTCCTCAAGTAAGGAAATATTGCAACTAATTTAAATTTATAATTAATGGTGTAATCTATGTATACTTGTAATTATTGATGCGTGGATTATATTTTCTTTCATTGAATAAAAAAATCTCTATATCTCTCTTTCTGTTGAATTTTTTTATCTATATTGTGTAATCATTTGCTTTAAATTTTTATTATTTTGTAAAATCTACAATATACATTTCCTTTTATGTAGGCAACAATGAGAAAAGCTAGAAAAATTCTGTAGATTTTTTGATAGGAAAAAGAATCTGCTATTTGAATTAAAATGGTTATTTAACTTAACTAGTAAATAAACTTGCAATTTGCTTTGCAGGTAATGAAGCTGAATTAACTATGCATGACGGAACTGTGAGAGACATGTGCTTTATTGAAGATACCACCAGCAAGTCAAGCCTTTTAATAAGTGGTGGTGCTGGTGATTGTAAAATCTATGTCACAGATTGTGAAACAGCAACACCTTTCCAGGCACTCTCTGGACATTCTGGTAAGTATTTGTGACTCAAGTCAAGATGAAATAAATTAAAAGCTCAGACAGGGGTCAAAAAATTATTACTCACATTTTTGACAACAGGTTTCCGCAGTGTTTTCACTACAGCGCAAGAACGCGAGAATCTCGCATATTTTTTTATATTCTCGCATTAAAAAATGATTACCGCGAGAAATTCGCGCATTCTATAAACCAATTTCAAAATTCGCGAATTTTTCGCATTTTGAAAAAAATTTCTCATTTGCGCCATTTAGATTAAAATCCGTTTCACTTTTCTTCCTGGATCTTTTATTATTTTCAACATCTGCCCCATTATCTAGCTTCCCTATTTACCAGTATTGTTCAGAACCTTTAAGAACAACAGAACACTATCCTTCCGAACCACGGAACCTCTTTCAGAACGCATTTCTCTGCAACAACGTGTTTACCGTAGGTAAGGTTTCTTCATGTAAGACGTTCAAATTTTTTGCTCGGTAATGTAAGATGGACAAATACCTTGTAAAGCCAATATCTTCTACTCCGAAACGGACAAATGAAAATGAAACAAATGTGGGTAGAAACGATCAAAACGAAACAAATACGCATTTGAGCAAACTAAAGAGAATAGCTGATGAAAAAGTAGATGTAGAACATTTTCCATATGATGATGCAGCAAAAATATTCAATGCTTTAAAAATTAGAAGATGTTAAAAATGCATTATAATTAAAGAATTGATTTTTTTTTCAAGTCTCTTTGTGTTTTTCTTTTAATTTTTGAAATCTCACCCTGTTTTTGAGAAAGGGAGAGAAATTCTCACCCATTTTTTTTTCTGAGATGAAAACACTGGGTTTCCTGACATAGATAATGTAGATATGTGTGGCTTCTTATGAATGTAACCCAGTATTGCCTTGTACTACTGATGCAGAAAGATATAATCTATAAATCATAATAATTTTTTTAATTCATATTTAGGCCATATTCTTGCTCTCTACACTTGGGGTGGAGCAATGTTTGTGAGTGGCTCACAAGATAGAACTATTAGATTCTGGGATGTGAGGACAAAAGGATGTGTTCATTTAGTTACTCCGCCACCTTTGTCCGGCTCTGGCCCAGGTATCAAAAAAATTTACATGCTCTATTTTTTAACTAGATTCTCTTTTAATTAATAGTTATTTCGAAGAAGATGTAGTTGTTTTATTAAGATTAATTTATGAATACTATCCAAATTTTCTTATTTCGATAACAGGAAAATATGATTAATGTATTGCAGTTGAAAATGAAAATTTTGAAGTCAATGTTATATTGAATCAAATACCATAAAAATTTTAATCACCCAATAAATTACTCTCATTGTATAAAGTTTTTTTTCTTCACAATGTCGTGCCTTTGATACCCTTTGTTGAAAAATGTTTTTTAAAATTTATGCAATCAAGAAATAATTGATGAAATTGTAATTAAAGCTCTCAATATTTAGAATACTTACAATTTTTTATTCTAATGAGTATTTTTTATGAACTGACACTACTATAATCACCATAATGTCTACATCCATTTTTCTTGTACACACTGTTATTTATTGTGTTTTTTGTACACATCTTTTAGAAGACAAGCTAAACTATTAAGGTTTACATTGTAGTTTTCCTTATGTAGCTACATTTTTATAAGAAGAAAATTAAAGTTTTACTTTAAGGAGTATTGTAATAAACTGAGTATTTTATTCAAATTTATTATTGTCCATAAAGAAAGAGAAAAAATCAAGATATATTTTTATAGATATTATAGATAGATATTTGATTTTGTCTATATATTATTTTTATTATAATGAACTAATAATGTGTTTCATGAATTGAAATGTAAAGGTAATAAATCTTAAAACAGAATAGTAAATAAGCCATGGTCTGTGAGATTACTAATTTGTAATTTGAAAGACACCATTATAGTATTTTTGTAGGGCATCTTTCAAGAAATAATTACAAACCTAAAAAAAAAAACAATAGTATCTCAAAGAATAGAGCACTTGCCTACGAATCAAGTACCTAGGTTTGAATCCCAACAATGTCTGGTCGATACGAATTCTGCATTTGACTCGCGCTGATAGTGCTGAAATAAAATATCCTCAATGGTAGATGGATCATGGTTTAGAGTCCCTTTGCCATCAGGCTAAACATGAGAAGTTTTTGTGGTTTTCCTCTCCATGTAATACAAATGCATGTTAGTCCCATCAAAAAGTCCTTTGTGGAGGCAAATTTCTCCCAATATTTGATCCAGGAGTTCCTATGTCTTCGGGATTAGGTTCAAAATTACAAGGCTACAGAGTTGAAAATTGGTAGTTGTAAACTCGAAATTTGGGTTGACTGTTCAACAACTGTTGTTGGTTGAATTGACTGTTCAACAGCAATTATAAAATCTAATAAAAATAATTTTCAATACTTTGTTCAAAAAAGCTGTTATAAATTTGTCTGTGATGAAATTTAATACACATTTCATGTTTATTTATAATTAATTATTTGTCAACAACTGTTTAATTCATTCAGGATTATATATAACTTATATTTCCATATTTCAGGTAGCCCAGTAGCAACCATTTGCGTTGATCCGTCAGGAAGGTTGCTTGTATCAGGTCAGGAAGATGCTACCTGCATGCTTTATGATATTAGGGGAGGTAGATGCATACAGTACTTTAAACCACATACGTCTGATATTAGGACTGCACGATTTTCTCCAAGGGCATACTACTTACTGACTGGTTCATATGATCATAAAGTTGGATTAATTGACTTACAAGGTAAATGATTTTTTTTTTAATTACATAAGAGCTTAGATGCTGTTGCTAAAACTTCCCTTAAAAGCAGTATTTGAAAATATTAAAAAAGTTAAATAACCCTTAAAATAAAATAAAAAATCTGACATAAATAAATAAGAATTTTTATTTAAAATGGTGTATTTTTTATACTTTTAATCAAATTTAGATGTATTAAGAAAAAGAAATAAAGAAGAAAGAAATTATAATTCCTAATCTTGTATTTTCTTCTTCTTCTTCCTTAATTGTATTTCTATTTAAATAAACAGATATGTCCTACTTTTAATAATCATTGCAAAGAAACAGCATTACAAATTAAAATTTAGTTAAATAAGACATACATATGCCTGTCCTTTGCTTGGATAACTTCATCGAATATTTATTTCATGTAATGTGTGAAGCACAGTTTTAAGCACAAATGTGTTTGAAATTTTGCTCACCTTAAGCACCTCTGTATTTCTATTCTCATTTTGTATTGCTTAATGTAATTCCGCACCCTATTTTTATTACTTTCTAAGTAATATTAGGTTTTGTTCTCACATTTAAATTATTAATTTAAGTTTTTATCTTTTATAAATACAAATATCTTGTACTAGGATTAACTTATCTCATATGGATCCCCTGTTACAAATCTTCAGCTAAAATAAATTAATCATCTTATTTATTCATATTTTTATCATTGTTTCTTGAATTCTCTGCTATCTTAACTTAAATGTCTAACAAATTCAATTTATTCTGTTTTAGGTGATCTTACTCAACCTTTACCAATGGTTGTGGTTGCTGAACACAGTGACAAAGTTATACAGGGACGCTGGCATCCCACAGAATTTTCATTCTTAACTACTAGTGCAGATAAAACAGCTACACTTTGGGCACTCCCTCCTCAGTAGGGCTTTGTTACACATTGTATAGTATTGTCTTGTAATATTTTATTTAAACCTGTTTTTATTTTTTACTGTGTGTATTTTAGTTATAGCTGTAAATTCAAATTAATACATCTCTTTCAACTGACTTTATTTCATTTGTTTTTATGTTGATTTCGTCTGAAGTGTTTTGGGATGTTTTATATTGGCAATATCATTTATTTTTCCGTTTGCTTATTTTTGTAAAATAATCTGACAGCTAGCTATTACTGTAACTTACACAGTGATTATTATTCAGAGTGCTTCAAATATGACCGAGTTTTAGAAAAATCAATTAAAGAATAGTGGACGGAGATAGAAGTGTTCGACTTGCTGTGTTCTTTTTACGAAACTAGATTATATGTTCTGACCAAATTTCAAAACTAACTACAAACTTTGCCAACAGATGGTTCTGCGAACCGAGAAAAGTGCAAAATAATATTTTCAAAATAACCCCAAATTGTAGCAACATTATTGCATAGTCAGAGGACAGATCCAAGCATAAATATTTAAATTGGAATAGTCTGGCATGCATTGTTTAGTATGCTTCATGAAAGCATTATTTTATTATTATCATAATTATCAATGGTGCCATCGCTTGGCACCATTGATTATTATTATTATATATAGCACTAATATTGATTAGTTATATAAAGCACTAATTTTGAAACTTGGTAAGAGTAACAATTCTAATTTAGTAAACATATTGCAGCAAGCTTTTATTTTTGTCTCATATTTTTCTTTAATTGTTATTGCAAATCATTTGCCATATTTGGAATGTTCTGGTACGTTCTATTTGCATTGCAAAAGTGTGATATTGTCTTTATACTTATTGAAATATAATGCACCTTAAACAAAGGATTAAAGAGCTTAGTGGAAGACAAGTTGAAAACACTCTCTTCCTCTTATTTAAGAACATCTTTAAGTTGACTTTAACTACAGAACATTTATTTATACCATATAATCTTTGAGTTAGCCAGTTTTCAGAGAGAACATATTATGCAACATATTAAAAATACTCAATTTTTCACTTCTAAAAGCATGTCATTTTTTGGTACTGTAATTATAGAGCATTTACTTTTTCTGCAAAATCTTAAGAGTTTTTTAGTAGAATGTGTTAAGATATTAAGATTAAAAATATTAAATTTTTCACATCTAAAAAAATTATAATGTTGTGTTCAACTATAATTATGTATTCTGAAAGTGTTTGGTAGTTTTTATTGGAAAAACATGTTTTGTGGCCAATTTTTTGATTTCTTTTCTAAAATTTATTTTCTTAAATCCACTAAGCTTTTTAATTATAAATCACAAGTTGCTTAAAAAGGCTAGCATTTCTAAGTGCATTTGAATGCAAACAAAATATAATTTTGTGATAGCTGTATAGAGTACCTTATCTGAAGAATTATTGACAGTAATTTTTTAATAAAAACTTAAGGGCTTATTTAACTTCTGCAGTAGTAATCTGTATGGGTAGATTCTAACATCTTTAGATCATGCTTGCATTTATAAATATTAATATAGCTTACTCAGAATGAGAAATTTATTATTGGAAAGTATTTTGAAGTAATCATAGTGAGCATATTTATTATTTTGATTTCATATTCTTGCATATAAAACATAATTGGTGCTTGACTATTTTTTATTTATAAGTAACTTCAATCTATTAATGTCTTTTCAGCTGTGTTTTAAAATTTTGTCACATTAACTGGTGTTAACTGTGTGGATTTCTTAAATTTATCTGTTGGAGACCTCCCAATTGCTTCAACTTATTAAGTTTATTGAGTTTGCGTTAATTGTTATATTTTATGAGTGCAGAAGTTCAAACCGTTGGAAGCCATCTCCAACAGATCCATTTTACAAACGCCTTATTTGTCAAAGATATCTTCCCAAACGGAATTAAAAATTGAGTTCTGCCATTGATGTAGAAAATCTAATTTAAGCTCACTCCATCGCTGATTAAGTTGTAAAATGTGTACTAAATAATAAGTTAAACAAATTATTGTTATTATCAGTCAATTGAGATTTTCTTTTGAATAATGTCTTTCACTAAACACTGGATTCCATGCTGATTGTTTTATTAATTTTAGAAATATTAACATCAATGTAATATTTTTTATCACAAAAAGAAATTAGTTTTAGTTATTATTAAAAATTTTCTCAAAATGCCAGAAGAATATCAATCTTTATGTTTTACACTCTTTTAGCAAAGTTCTTTAATATTTTGTTTTTTAAGTTATCATGTATGTTTGTTATTTTTGTTTTTGCCTTTAGTTTGTTTGTGCTGTATCAAAACTACACTAAATTATTTTTAAAAAAATTTGTTTTGATGTCAATAACATTTTTACCATATTTTTTTTACATAAAACAGCATTTTTATTTTCAGAGAAATGATTTCCTACTTTATAGTTTATATCTCCAGTAATCTTAGCAGTTCATTTTTATGACCTATTTAAAAAATTTGTGCAGATAGGTAACATAATTGTGTGTGTGATTAATAATTTGATATGAATTGTAGAACGCATGCTATCATTTTTGTATTTTCTCTTGATATTACTATTTTTTAATTATCACTAAAATTTACAACCTAATAACTGTAGAAACCTAACCTGATAAAGCTTCAGACACTTTTAAAAATATGGTTGCCTATTATTCTTCCATAAATCATAGAAAAACTGTTCAATTTATTTTTTGAATAAATTTTCTTTTAAATTTTCTTTATTGAATTAAATTTTCTTGCTTGTGAATTAAATTTTCTTTCAGAATTAACTTTGCTAATATTGGTTTGCTGTGATTCTTCTTTCTTTCTTAATATTTATTCTCATATTAACTTATTAATTTGCTATATCAAGATTCATACGATAAACTAAATAAAAATAAAGGACTAAATAGTGTAACTAAAAATTTTATGATAATTTTAAATGAAAGTTGCTCAAAGTTAATCGAAATTTCCTAAAGTCTGTATCCTCTCTCTCCCTAAATAAATATTGGTTTATAAAAGTATAAAAAATATCACCTGTTGGTGTGAAGATTTTAAGTTATTCATGAGGGTGAATTTGTTATTTGAAACAAAAGCAACTTTCAAAAAATAATTTTCAATGAATAATTTTAATTAACAAATATTCATGGCAATTAAAGTCATCTGTCCACAGAATTTTAGTCAGAATTATACTTTTCACAACTGTATGAAAAGTTAATGCTTGTCTTCCTTTTGTGTTTCTACATTTCATAGGATTTAGGTGCCAAACTTTCTGTTTAGTGTTTATTGAGCATTTTTCATATGAATAATGTAGTATTTTACAATTAATTGTCTTTTTTTTTAAAAAAAATCTTTAGCTTGATAATTTTTTTCTCTTTGACTTTTAAGATTTATCAGTTTTAAAGTTTATAGAACATGTTATATAGTTTTTTCTAGACATTTATTTATTTAAAAAAAATTAGATTTTTCTTTTTTGAAGCTTTTTGTTTTTGGTTGACTTAGTACTTCAATTTTAAGATTTGTTACTGTGTCACAATATTGCTAATTGGTGTTTTGTTTAATTGGTGTACTAAAACTTTTTTTAGATTGAGAAGTATTATTATTTGCCTACTGCTTTGTGGATAATTAAATTGAACTTATCCTAGTCTCCTAATATTTCAATATTTTGCCTCTTTATCAACGCTATCTTTCACTTTTTTTCTTTTAATTTTCCTGAAAATATAAAACTAATTCCCTTGAATAACTAATCAAAATTTTCCTAAAATCAATAAGTTTTCAAAACTTTTCTATTAAAACAGATTGCTTGCTGCTTGAGAATTGAAATAAGAAATATGTACTACGAAATAATTAAGTGAAATAGTTGCGTAAAACCTAATGAGTTTTATTCTTATTTGTTCAGATAGTTATAAAATTATGAAACTGACTTGATGGACAAATTTTTTTTCAGTTTTTTTATTTTTTTATTAGTGAAATATTTGAAAGTCAAGCATGAATCATACCATAAATAATGTCTATAGAATTTTTGTCACTTTATCGAAGTTTTAATTATCATTTATTAATCAGTTATTTAGAATTTTTATTTTTAATCCTAATGTCTAATTTTTATTGAATTGAATTTTAATAGTTGATTAAATTTATTGATGTAAAAAAAATCTTTCCTCTGGAATCTTTTAAATATTTTATTTAAACTTCAAGATTTAGGAATTCATTTAACATTTCAATTTTAGATTTTATACTTAAATTTTTATAAGTTTTTTACTTTAAATTTTGTGAGTTTAAGTTTAATATCAAAATATAATTTAACTTTTATGTGTCCAAAAATATTTTGCTTTGAAGAAATTGTTAATGAAACTTTCTAAAATTCTTACAAATAATTTTCTGAATTATGTGTACTTGCATAGTTGTCTTTTTTTTCTTTAAGTAAATAACTTAAAAAAAAGTACCAAAATCTACAAAGATGTGAACATAACTTTGATTACATTTATTTTATATTATGTGTTTTGTTCTACAGTTTAAAGAAAAATCTGCCATATCACTTGTAAATCAACCCGACAGAAATGCTAATTACTACAAATTTTCTGTAGTTTCAGATGAATTTTAGCTTTACCCACTAAATTAGAGGGACGTTCAAACATTATGTAAGCATATTTTTGACAATTTGCACATTCCCTTGTCCTTTATCTGCAAAAATAGCAAATCTTGCATCCCCTCACATGCTTATGTAAAAAAAATCGCAACACCCCTTGTTTTTTTTTTTTTTAATTTATTTATTCTCTCTCTCTTTTAATTTTACTGTAGTAATCTAATTTTAAGATTACATTCAAATAAAAGATGCAACTTTTCTTGAAACCAAATTTAAGTTTTCATTAATTTTTTGAAAATTTTGAGCAGAGTATTGTTTAGGAATCTATTTCTGTGTTCTAAATTCTTGACCTCTAAATAATCTTCAAAATTTTTCCTTCCTTGAATTCTTTTTATTCTAAATTAGAAATTTTTCTTTATGTAACTTTTTTTTTGTTACATTTTTTGTTTTGCACGTTAAGAAAATTTTGAAAATGTGAGGATTTTAATGTCTTGTGTAAGCGTTGCTCATGCTGTTTTCTTCCCCTTGTCAGAAAAAATAGGCAAATCACAAACACCTTTCCTTTGTTTAGGTGCTTAAGTAATATTTTAACGGTCCCTCAGACCTTTTTTTAAATGAAAAAAAATTAAGAGAGTATACTCTTTTTTTTTAATGCATTACTTTTATATTTTTTTGCAATTTTCTTAACAAACTCCTTTTATACATCCATTAATTTATTCATTAATTAAATTCATAGCTTTATAATATTTCTGATAACTTTTCTAACATTTATGAAATTAAATGTATTGAAACTTAATTTTTCAATTTGGCAGAAATGCAAATTGCGGAATATAAAGGGATTCATTTTGTATTTTAACATTTTTAGGATATTTACCTCCGTTATTACAAAAAATGACTCTCTAACTACAGAAAATCATTGGAATTTTCGGCCTCATTATGTGTTTGCATGTGTGCATTTATAAGTTATTATTTATCTATTAAATTGTAATAGATATTGCCTTAGGTTAGAAAAAACGACTTATTTTATCTTCCACGAACCTGTATGTTTTCGATGTATTTCTTTTTAAATATGTGTGTATGTAATTGTTTAACTAATTTATACTTACTAAAATCAAAAGTCATGCCCATAATTATGACTAAAAATAAATAATTATGAATAAAAATTAGAGAAGGTATTTTGTACATGTTGAATATTTTTTCTATTAACAAAGTTGTGCAAAAAAATTTTCTCTTTTTTTCCTCTCTTGTGGTGTTATTATTATTATGAGACTTAGTGAATTCTATCTCATTTTCTACTAATTTTTATGAAAAATAAATGTATATATTAAAAATTAATTGTATTTCTTTATATGTAAATTTGATATAAAAGTTATGAAAATTATTGATAACCTAATTTAGTTTTTAATAAATTTGTTGAGGTTTATCGTGTGTTTTCTCTCTTGACTGTTAAAAGAATTTTGAACTCCTGCTTTATACAGAAATATAGTTAATTTTACTATATTTTCTCATTAAACATTTAGTTTCATGTTACCAGGCTGAAAAGAAATTCAGCCTGGTAACAAGCAAAAACATATTTGTGTCTGTGCAGCAGCCATTGACCAGTAAAATGAAGAAGAAATCACTTAAGATATAATATTCAGCTTGAAAGTGATCTTTTTTCTTGTAAGTACGTCTTTCCTATGTTCATACTGTGAACGATAATTCATTTATCATTATATATATGTTACCGGCATTGTATAGAATGACTAGGCATTGTAGAGAATGCCTAAAATTAGCCGGCAAAGTATGAAATGATTTATATTTCACACATGTCCTAGGCATTCTACAGATTGCCAAATGAGAAACCGGCAAAGTATAAAATACATCTCCGATTCGTTTCAAATATCACTTGGCAAGGCTCGTGACTTTTAAACTTGTGACTTTTAATGCTTGGCTCGTGACTTTTGACTAATAACCAAAATTATTTTTTTACTGTGCTACCTGGAAATGGAGGAATTTAATGAAATTTAGATGGAACAATTTAATGAAATGTAATTCAAAATGTCATTTAAGCCTGCCATGTTGCAACAAGTAGTTTAATTTCATATTTTTTATATGAAAATTTTGTTTCCCTTAATAAGAAAGGCTTAAATTTTATTTTGCATAACTTTTTAATTTTCTTTCCACATTTTGAATAAATGTTTTTCAATGGCACTCTCAGTATTTTTTCAGAATAATATTTTTATTCTTGAGAAATGCATGTTACTGTGAATGACCGAAATCGGTAGTTTTACATTTATTCGATATTTTAAGACTTATTGACGATAGATTAGAAGAAACATCAGTGTAGGATGTACCGGGCAGTGGCACTTGACCTTACAAAAAACATCAGTGTAAGGTATACCGGGCAATGGCACTTAACAAGAACTAGTATGACGGGATCTTTGGTAAATGTCCGAAATATATACTAGGTCTAGATAAGCGCCATTGCACGGTATACATTTGCCCGGTATACCTTACACTGATGTTTTTTTAAGGTGAAGTGTCATTGCCCGGTATACATTACACTGATGTTTTTTTAAGGTTAAGTGCCACTGCCCGTTATACATTTGCCTGGTATACCCTACACTGATGTTTTTTTAAGGTCATGCCCGGTTTAAGTGTCATTTGCCCGATATACATTTGCCCGATACTCCAAACACTGATGTTTCTTCTAATCTATCGTCAGTAAGTATTAAAATATCGAATAAATACAATTATATCCTTTAATAAATTAAATATCAAATCGGATGTAATAAATATTTCGGTCATTCGCCGAAGCGACTATGTGATTGTCAACATTCACCGTTGAAAGTCAACAACCACCGATTTCGCTTATTCACAGTAACATGCACATCATTTACATAATAACCTCATCAAGACGTTTATTTCATATTTTGCCTAAATAGCATCTGGCATTGCATAGAATGCCTAGGCATTCTATACAATGCCTAGGCAAAGTATGTAATTCTCACATTTCATACTTTGCCTAAAAACGTCAGGCATTCTATACAATGCCGGCGTTTCATACTTTACCGATAACATATATATAAGAATTTCTAACTCTTTGAATATATCTAAAGTCAGAGTACTACTGTGCAATGGAAAAACCAATGCAAGCAACATAAAATTCAAAATTTATTTTTATATATTTGGCATTTTTGTATGATAAGCTATATATTGCACTAAAAAATTTTTTTAAAAAAAGGACATTTTGGTTGATCAGTTTTTTGAAATTTGATGTTAGAGTTCATAGCATTAGTAATGAAAGGAAAATGGTTGCCAAACCAC